ACAGCTCTTTTCTGGAGTGGGTCATGTTGGCATGAAGAACTTACACAGGAGAAGATATGCATGCAAATAGTCAGGCAATTAGTCACATCTCTCTCTCTCTCTCTCTCCCTTCGTCCCTCCTTCTCCCTCCCTTCCTCCCTCTCTCTCTCCTTATTGCCAATCCACCCCCCAAAAGCAATACTCTTTTTTGCTCGTAATTAAGGAACAGTCTGCACAGTGTGACAGAATTAATCAAGTATAAATCCCAGGCTGAAACAGTTGAAGGACAAGAAGCAAAAAATAAATGTTCAAAGTAGTTGAGGAACTGATTGAAATTATGAAGCAATATCAGCTGCATCATTTAATTTTTTAAGAGAAAAAGTTACCATTTTCAGATTGAAAATCTACTCCTAGATTGCATTTGTAATTGGTAAATCTCTTTTTTAAAACAAAAAAAATGAGTGGAAGAGAATTTTATTTAAAAATGTTGTGCTGGTTAAAGAATGCAATCAAGTAATTTATTTATATTTAAAAATGTAAAATGTGACAAGAAGAAGCAGAGGTGTTGTATTATATCAAAAATCAAACTCCTATAAATCGAAATTTGTTTCATAAGAACCGGTGTATGCCACATTCCTTTCTACCCTTTTCATCTCCTTCTTAAATCTTAAACACTTTGATTCTTTAAAGACTTAGAACTCCAAAAAAAACTCCTGCACTGTTCGAGTCTTCAGACATACATAGGAATAACATTTCTTTGAAACTAAGCAATTTGAGATATGCTGACTTTATTCACTGCCTCATGGGGAAGGGCTGATGTGCATTAGAGGAAAGATAAGCTATTGAGGCTACATTATTTCACGGTACTTAGAAGACAAGCCAAAACTGCACAAGGGAGAGAGGCTGGTTGGTGGCTGATGGTTAATAGCTAGAATTGGTCTTCAGCTCTTTCTTCCATTTTTTCCAGTCAACTTTATAATTTGGAAGAATGGGCCTTTAAGTGCCGTCTTGACGGTGTAAATGAAGTTCCTCATGATAGATTTTTAAAAAGAAAGTAAGATGTATACTGTTATAAATAGTGACACGATAGCAATGCAGTATGTTTGTTGTGCAAGCATTTCTCTATTTTTCACTTATTAGAAAGCTAATTTGGGAGTTAGTTGTAGGGAATTGTGCTTATTTGGCTACATTTGTTGTGATTAGCCAGCAGTAGGTGCAGATGGCTGAGGAGAGCGATGACTCTGATGAGGGGCCAGGACCATCAGGGAGTGGACTGCTGCCTTCAGAGATTGTGGGGGCTGGCAGCAGTGACAAGGAGGCTCCCGAGGAGCCTGTGCCAAGTGCACATGCATGAAGGATTACTCGGAGGAAAGAACAATTACAGCAGCACAGGTGACTCAGGAGTAAGGCTGCAAGGTAATGGCTCCTCCCTCAAGAGGATAAAAGCCAGGTTTGAAAAAGCGTTCTTTGCAGACAGCAAAGAAGCTCTTAGCTCAACTGGTGGACATCTTAGTTTGTGAATCTTGCAAATTAGTTCTTATCTCTGAGTTCTTGGCAGCCTTGACAAAAACTTGGCAAGGCTCTTTCTTGTTGGAGATAATTGTTGGAAAGCAACCTTTTATCTGTAAAGGAACAGCATTCATGATTAAACCTTGAAAGGTGGGGGCTGCTGCCTTTGTCTGTATTTGCTCTCTGGGAACCCGGTTGTGTCAGAACAACATTTGGTTTCACCTCCCGCCCCCTTTATTTCCTAAACTTTTGATAGTGACTGCACTAGATCATTTTTATTTTGAGGTCTGCGTAGGATTTCTCCAGTTGGCTCAGAATAAGGGAATGGCTGGTCTACAATAATAAAAGGATGAGTGGTTGGAGAGAAGGACAGAAAGGTGCTTCTCCTTGTTCAGCTTATTTACTTTAAAACCTGTGTGTCAACTTATAATTTTTCCTTGTAATCTTATCAAATCAATCACTAGGAACTCCAAAATGCAGTTGATATAAATCCACATCCTCAAGTCATATTGGAATCCCATGTAATTTTGTTGGCAAGGATTTAGAAGTGGTTCACCACTGACCTTCAATGCTGGCTTAAAGTCTGATATCTCTTGCTGATCTCCCACTAAGTAATAATCAATCCAGCCATGTTAAGAGCAGGCAGGAGACCCTACACAATTCTGGACAAATGGCTGTCCAATCTCTTCTTGAAAACCTCCAGTGATGGAGCCCACAACTTCTGGAGGCAAGTTCCACTTGTTAATTATTCTCACTGTTAGGAAGTTTTTCCTTAGTTCTAGGCTGCTTCTATCCTTGGTTAGTTTCCATCCACTGCTTCTTGTTCTGCCTTTTGGTGCTTTGAAGAATAGTTGACACCCTCTTCTAGGATAGAGATGGTTTATATGTAGCTATGATTCATTTAACTATGATTTATTCAATGAACACCTGCTAGTTTTTTTTCTTTCTTTCACACATGTCCACTTTTAGGTCTTTCAATATCTTTTATCTAGCCAAGTTTTAAATACTTTATTTAACACAAGCAAGGGCTATAGACATACAAGATTCATTACATTTAAATTATTTATTTTGTGTTTATAGAAAACACTGGATCAGTTACCCTGTTTTTGACTGAAAGAGGGCAATTGACCACAGCAGCATTGTACTGCAAACTCCATTACTTTTGTAAATGGGTCGCCATGTCACAAACACAAAAGGAGCAGAAGTTACGTTGCATTGGAAAAAATGCTGCTTTTGGCATTTTATCCACCTCTCTGCAGTTTTTGTATACAGAAGTTTTTCTATTTTGTGATGATCTGTATAAAGGCACATCATCTCTTCAGTTTAAACTCAGTCAACAGAACTTGTTCTGATTCAATCAGGTTTTCCATTCCTGTTAGAAATGTATCCAAAATACATTGATGCACATTAATGAGAATAAATAAATCTTGTATCACACGTAGCATAGGATGGATGCCAGCCAACACAGGGATTTGTCGACTAAAGTCTGATGCTGTTCACAGCCTGATTTGGAAGAAATGTATCGGACATAATTCCCAGAGTTTGACTGCAAATTAAGTCAGTTTCCTCTATCTGGGTTATAGTTTTCTTTCAATCCATTTATTCCAAAGATTATATATATTGCTTAGTTTGTCTACCTAAAGAACGTGTGCATTAAGTCTTGCCAAAGGATACAAGTACATTTTGATTTCCCTCCCTTCCCTTTCAGTGATTGGTATACTTTCTGGTTGGTGAATAATGTGAGAAGAGTGATATTGATGAAAGCTGCTACATGGGCCAATTTTTCCACTGAATTACTGTCCAGAGAAATTAGCACTGGCTGACCCTTGCAGGAGAATTGCTTAGGTTTTTAGATTCTGTGAATCTCCCATCAAAACGTTTTTTTTTAATATGAGCAATTTTGGATTTTCCCTTCATCATCATAAACACGAAACACTTTCTTCTAGTGACGTAACAGTGCTGGAAAGAGATCAAGGATGATGGGAAAGAAGAAAAACTATAAGATACTCCAAGGTTTGGCAGGGGTGAAAAATAAGTTGCCTCTTCCATCAGATCCTTAGAATTGACAGGTTAAATGCAAAAGAACCTGAGGTCTAAGCTACATATGCAAATGAAATGGGAAAATTGGAAGCTGCTGGTTTTCTTCTTTTTTTATGCCAATTATTGCTATTTCAAAGGCTTGACGAATAGACAGTCTAATGGAAAGATCTCCAAAGGGAGATATCACAAAGAGAACTATGACTGTAAGATTATGGTATCTCTGAATAAGAATCTTATGGTATCTCTGGACACCTGCATAACTGGATAGAAGCATTCTTGTCAAACAGACAACAAATGGTCAAAATTGGGAGCGTCCTATCAAATTCTGTACCTGTCAACAGTGGTGGCCCCCAAGGCAGTGTTCTAGGACCAACTCTTTTCATACTCTACATAAATGACCTCTGTGATCATATTAAAAGCAACTGCATTCTCTTCGCTGATGATTTAAAGCTATTCAACACCACCGACAATACTGCTACCCTTCAAAAAGACCTCGACTATGTATCAGAATGGTCAAACAAATGGCAACTTCAAATCTCAACAAATAAATGCTCTGTCTTACATATTGGCAAAAAAAAAATCAGAAAATAAAATACAAGCTGAATAGTCAAGACCTTGTTGATGATCCAAACTCTGTCAAGGACCTTGGAGTACTCATCTCTAATGATCTAAGTGCTAGAGCCCACTGTAACTACATAGCCAAAAAGGCATTAAGAGTTGTTAACCTAATCCTGTGTAGCGTTTTCTCCAGTAATATCACAGTACTAACTAGAGCATACAAAACATTTGCTAGACAATACTTGAATTCAGCTCATCAGTCTGGAACCCGCATTATGTATCTGATATTAATACAGTTGAGAAAGTCCAGAAATATTTCACAAGAAGAGTTCTCCACTCCTCTATTCGTTGCAGAATGCCTTATGCCACCAGACTTGAAATTTTAGACCTAGACAACCTAGAACTACACTGCCTTCGGTCCGATCTAAGTATAGTACATAAAGTTATATATTGCAATGTCCTACCTTTCAATGTATACTTCAGCTTCAACCATAACAATACAATAGATACAAACTCAAGGTAAACAGCACCAAACTTGATTGCAGGAAATATGACTTCAGCAACAGAGTGGTCAATGTCGGGAATACTCTACCTGACTGTGGTTTCTTCCCCAAACCTCAAAAACTTTAACCTTAGACTGTCTACTATTGACCTCACCCCGTTTCTAAGAGGTTTGCAGGGGGCGTGCATAAGCGCACCAACGTGTCTACCGTCCCTGTCCTATTGTTTCTTTTATTTTCTTATCCATGTATTCATAACTGTTTTTTACTTATACCTATTATCTTATAATTGCTTAATAAAATAAAATAAAATAAAAAGATCATGTAAGATGATGGAACAAGAGTCAAGATGAACAGGATTAAGATTAAGACAATCAGCAAGAAAAGGGCATTTAAGACGCATGTCCCACCTACCATAAGCTGGGTAACAGACCTTCATGCAGCAAACTGTGCTCAGTGCAGTCAAGCTGGTGAGGCTGCACAGACCAAAGAGAACTCCACAGAAGGCATAGAAGATACACATGGCATGGTTGAACAGCCACCTAAAAAAAGAGATAATGGCAAAATAGATGACCAGAAGAAATTATGTCTCTAGTTGGAAAGAAATGTTTCAGCAGCTAAGAAAATGTCCAGGAGCAGTACACATCTCCATTTCTTAGCTGAGAGAGCCAGCATTGTCCAAAGACATTTCCATGGTCCAGCATGACTTTATGCCAAGATGCACAGAACAATGTGGTATCTATTTATCTACTTGCATTTGCATGATTTCAAATTGCTAGGTAAGTAGTGGGAGCTAACCCATCCTGTGCTTGGGCCTTGAACCTGGGCTGTCAGTTTTCCAGTGGACAAGCTCAATGTCTTAAACCACTGAGCCATTCCAACCCCTTGTTTTAGCATCTAGGACTGCCAATATATGTCCAATGAGCATCAATGTTCCCATCCATGCTTCCTTAATGTCTACACTGCCACACTGCATGTAGTTCTCATTTTTTAAAACATTTCTTTTTGGGGGGGATGGAAAAATTAATATGCTACCAAAATAAGGCACCATTCCCTTTTCCTCATTGTGCCAATGAAGTCCAGGTAGAGGCTAAGTATTGTTAGAGAATAAAATTAGCAGGTAATTGCATCCACCTCCCCAGAAAATAATAATAATAAAGGTATGCTAAGATTGTAAAAACCTTCCCAGGAGGTTTGGGAGGGGAGTGAGTGTAATCTTACTAGTTTACTTTCTGATTGACAGATGTTTTGTAGCTGACTATGTATACCACTCTCAAACATCTCCCACCCTTTAAAAAGATGGCTGTTCTGGAACATCTTTGAGTCCCAATTGATGGGAGTCTTCAGTTTCAGGTAAGTTGATGTGAAAGTGTTAATATAGTATTTAATTCTAACTTTATTCTCATGCATATTTATTATTGCATTGGCTTTATTATTGCTGTTTCTGTACCATTTAAATAATTTCAAGATTTGGAAAGTTTAAACATTTTATAAGTAAATAAACTTGTCCAAGATACCAGCTTGGTTTGGTAATCTCTGCTTGATCAACATTTGACCAAGTCGGTTTCCCCCAAGTTGGATACATGTCCAGATACGTAGTGACTACATTTCTCATTATCCTGAGGCAGCCGAAGTCCTTGATTTTATCCTGTATTATTAATAGTTTTAAAATGAGGTCATGGAGGAAATAACTAAACTCCATCATTCTCTGCTCTGGATCTACTGTTTCTCCCTTCTGTCTTATTATTATTATTATTAATAATAATAATAATAATAATAATAATAATAATAATAATAATAATAATAATAATAATAATAATAATAATAATATAAACATTATAACATAATGTAAACATTGTTGAGAGCTTCAAAATAATCTACCCATGTTAGCTCTTGATTACCACACTGTTGAAAAAATACCAAGAAGAAAACTTAGTCAATGGAAACCACACTGATCTTCTGAAGGGAAGAAAGAAATTCAATTGCATTGATTAAATGGCTGAATGGGTGGAGTTACCTGTGGGCAAAGAAGGATGGTGTGGCCAGTGGAAAGAGGATCAAAGTCATGCCTATGTCGCTGATGGCAAGATTCACAATGAAGAATTCTGCAGGCTTCAGGAGGGCTCTTTTCCGGTAGGCAACCCATAGGAGAAGTGAGTTTCCAAAGAGAGACACTACACCTGAAAGCAAATCAAAATTGTGGTTTAGAACCTGGAAAAAAGAAGATGAAACATTCATTCACTATATTTATAAACTGTTATAAGTTGCATAAGAACTGCATCTACAATGACATCTAATTGCAACCATTATATACAGTAGTCATGATAATTATAGCAAAGTTTATACATATTTAGGGTACTCCTTCCTGACCTGATATTCTCCTGGTGTGTCATTGGCTATGTTGACTTGGAATTTCGAGAGACGTAATCCCAACATTTCTGGAAGGCATTAGATGGGGACAATTGCTTTAAAGCCTGAATCTTCTTTTGTTTCTTTCTTTGCAAGAACATGGCTCTGTTCACACAGTATGTTTAACTCAGTTACTAACCCAGTCAAATATCCTTACTACTAGTTCCAGCCATACACAATCATTGCTAAATTATAATCTACATTTTTGGGATTCTAGAGCAGTGGTCGCCAACCAGTGGGCTGGGGATGACAGGTGGTCCGTGAGAAAATTTTGGTGGTTCTCTGAGAAATGTTACCCCCAAAGCACCCCCCAAAGCAATTAAACCAGGCTGCGTAGGGACACAAGGCTGCACCATTCACATGGCTTGTGGGAACACAAGGCTTGCGTTGCTTGCATTGCGAACAACACGAGGTAGTGAGGGGAGGGGGAAAAGGGCAGAGGGGGGAACTTGCCCCACTCACCCCACGCGCCTCACCTGGCCACGCTTCTTTTTACTTCTGCTTTTGGCTGCACGCAAGGAAAGCAGCAAAAGTCTTTCTTTCTCTCCCCCAAACGCCGCCAGAAATGAGTCTTTGGGACCCTGCAAGGCATCCTGCTTCAAGAGGCTGCGCTGGCACAAGTCTCACAAAGACTCATTTCCTGTGGAGTTTGGGGGAAAGAAAGAAAGACTTCTGCTGCTTCTGCTGCTTTCCTTGCATGAAGCCAAAGGTCTCTCTCTTTCTCTCCCCCTGAGAACGGAGCTGGAGACGGTATCCTGTGATCCCAAATAAAGATCAATCAGTAGGAAAATGGGGTGGGGAATTTTCCTGCAGACTTTTTGGGGGATTTTCACAGGGTCTCTGGTCTGCGGGATTTAAAATTGTGAGTTTGGTGGTCCCTGAGGTCCAAAAGGTTGGCGACCCCTGTTCTAGAGTCCCCATTTGCTTTCTCTGGTAACCCTTAAAGCCATGAATCAGGACAGTTAGATGACATGTCAGGAAATAGTAGCCAATGCTACACAGACAGCAACACGGCTGACTTGGGCAATGGAGCCAGTCAGTATTAAAAACATATGTTCAGTGTTGCAAGGACTTGATACTGAAGTTGTAAAATGGAGAGTCTTAGTTTTTCAGCCACTCTTTTTCTCCAATAATTTTTTCTTGGATGACTAAATATGCAAACAAATTAAATATTCCCACCACACAACTGTTTGGGTAGATTAATTTAATCCTGCAAATCAGTGTTTCTAAAACTTGGCAACTTTAAGATGCATAAAATTCAACTCCCAGGCCATCATTGCTAGCTGGAGAATTCTGGGAGTTGAAGTCCACACAACTTAAAATTGCCAAGTTTGAGAAACATTGCTGTAGATGATTCAGTTTCTTTTGGATTAAATTTAATCTCCTGGAGATTAGTTGACTAAGTCAATTAACTCATTTATGGTGTTCCCATAATATATTACCTCCTTCTTATTTAATATAACCTTGTTATAGGATCTGGGCCAATGTTTCACAAAGGCTATCTGTACAATCCACCAGCAATGTTTTTTCCCTATTTGATCCCATAGAATTTCCCAAGCTTTTTGATATATGGCCATTTCAACTTAGTTTGTGTCAATTTCCATATTTTATCCTTTGTCTGCCTGGTGCCTCCATTTCTATTGCACTTAAATCCCCATAAAATGTGGATAAGACAGCTGTTAATTATAAAAGTTTGTCTTTCTTGGTCCTTTGGCCAAAACTATATTAATCACAATATTTCTCAAGTAGAATTCAGTTAACTTTTGTTAAGAACCAGTACCCTACTGAAAAATGCTGAAAAGAATAGTGTTTATTTTGAGTGGTTTTGATTGCAAGCTTCATTCTAATTAAACAGCCATTTGCAACCATTTCTGGCAGAGATTTATTTTACTGGTTTGAGATAAATTATAACCCCCCTCTCTCCCTCCCCCCTTTCTCTCTCTCTCTCTCTCTCCTATATAATTATTTTATACAATAATATATTGCATGCCAAAATAAATGAAAGAGAGGAAAAAATATTATGCAACTGAAGCTACTCAGACAAGATGTTATTTTGTTTGAACAGAATTGAGACAACACTGGTAATTAAAATTTAATTCCTAGGATTTTCCTTTTCCATTAAGTCAGGCTAATTTCATTTAAAAAGTGTTTTCCTACATAATTCACAAAGGAGGCCCTGAGGACAGGTTTGGGGCATTTGGAATGACTGCTTGATAGATTGGGATGCAAATTAAATATTATGATAACAGTAACATGCCGAAGATGGAATATAGCTGCTCTAGTGATTTTATCTTAGCCCAAATCCTTTGGGGCTCATTCTTACTCAACATGCATTGGAGTTCTGAGTATAAATCACTTCAGTTGAAAAAAAATGGGATCTACATATTCATGTTTCCTCTTCATAATTTTTGGACACGCTAATTCCTTATTCGTTTACTCAGAACTTTATTAAAGTCTAATACAAAGAGTGCTGAGTTTTGATAAGCAGATAGTCCTATAGTTCTACCACATCTGGGATTGCATAAAGCAAGATACCCACTCAATATATCTACCATCTACCATCTCCTTCAGATGTCTCAAAGGTGCTTTTGCAAAAGGCAACTGGACTTTCTTGGGTTTTTTCCCCCTTGGAAACGTTTTGCTTCTCATCCAAGAAGCTTCTTCAGTTCTTTTTTTTAAAAGGAACTGAAAAAGAACTGAACTGAAGAAGCTTCTTGGATGAGAAATGAAATGTTTTCAAGGAAAAAAAACCCAAGAAAGTCCAGTTGCCTTTTGGAAAAACATCTTTGAGACAACCATGAGCTGCATCATTGAGAAGTTCCACAGACATCTCCTCCAGAGTTTTACACATTATCCTGGATGAGCTGCAAGTAGATTAATAATGTTGTTATGATAGGAAAACTGAACAAGAGACATTGTCAGTGCTTCCAAAGGTTGCCCAACTAAATTCTCAGCTGTTTCATATTCTGGCTGAGGATGCTGGCAGTTATACTTTTGCAATATCAAAAAGCCACAGTTCTCACATTCATTGAGGACAATAGCTAGAGATGGAGAACTAAAGCTTGGGAGGAGAAAAAGGTCCTGTGAATGTGCAGAAGGTACAATAGCTTGAACTGACAGACCCTTCTGAGGAAATAATGTGAGGGTAAAGATCTGTGTGTTTTCCAAAATATACAACACTACAACACAGCCCTTTCAACAGTTCCAAGAAGGCTCCACACCAATTTGCACTACTCAGGTGACCCTGATGACACAGATAAACCTCCAGGTGACCTTAACAACCTGCTAAAAGCATGCAAATGACCAGCTGTCTGCAAAGCATATAAATTCTTCCATTCCCCACTATCCAGTCAGACCTGAAGAAGATTCTTGGATGAGAAGCGAAACATCTTCAAAGAAAAACCAGACAGTCCAGTTTCCTCTTGAATAAAAGTACCTTTGGGACAACTGTGACCTGAATCTCCATAAACATTTCCCAAAACATATTTATTTATTTTATTCATGTAGTATATTGCCTACCAACTTGAGCTCAAAGCAGTTTGCAATCCAGAAAAATAAATAAAATGCAAAGAAAACAATGTAACATATTTAACACAAAACTCTATTCTTTCAGAAGTCTGATGTTATTAGCACCCCTATATTTGCTAAAAGTCAGGTGGCGTCACTGGTGGGCAGCTGGATGGTCGGTGAGGTATGGGCAAGTTGCTAGCTGTGATCTCTGGCTGGGCCTGCCCACCCACCCTTGTTCTATGCTTTCCCTAAATAACTAACTCCCCCTCCCCCAACCCAGGCTGCCCAGGTGAGTTCTGCACTGCCCCGGAGCTTCCTGAGTCGATTAGCTGCCTGTTTGAAGCTGTGAGGCCCTTGTCAATGAAAGTGCAACCCACCTCTGGGTAGCATCCAAATCCAATGAAATCAACCAGTATCAACCAATCACTACATAAATAAAATCCTGCAGCATAATCAAATTACTAAAGCTTTTCTAAAAACCATGGGCTTAGGGACATTCAAACCTTAGAAGGCAAGCTATTTGGGTCTACAACTCTTCATTTCATGTGAGACAGGGACCATCACCATTCTTTAATAAAGGAAAACACAGGACAGGCTGAATCTTGCTGGGAGAGATAATCCTGTAAATGCTCAGGAGCCAAGCTGTATATAAAACTAGACAACCAGTGTGTGTTGGTCATGGTTTCAGAGATATTTCTTTACCTAAACAGAAAATGACTGCATGCCCAGAGTAAAGCAGCTGTAGGAATGGAAATGATTTCTTATTTCCTATCAGCTTCCTCATTGACTTTCTTTGTAGAAAGCTGGCATAGACCATTGGAAATGACAATCACATGACTGTGGCTTATTGCAGCAGCACAAACATGACTACAACTTTTCCAAATTTTAACCCCATGTGACTCATGGGTCCCAGATTCAAAAATTGTTGTTGTATGATTTATCTGTCAACTCGTGAAGCATCCCTGACCTATTCTGGAGTTGCCATAGGCAAGGGGGATGGGGAATCAAACCTCGCAGCTGCATCAAGTAACTTGCATTTCAGTCAAAACAAAGCACATTCCAGCTGTGCACGTCAAGGTTACCTCCTTGGAATCCCACAGTGGTTGGAGAGAGTGACTTCTACAACCTGTGAAATTGCTTCGTTGGGGGGGAGGGGGAAACAGGGTCAGAGCGAAAGCGCAAATTAAGTGAGGTCAGAGTTGGCTCCACTTGGTCCATGCCGACATGAAGATCCTAATAAATAACTGGTTTTCTTTTGAAG